TTATCTCATTCGTGTTGCTACTTACAAATTATCACATTGAATCGTCATGATAATTTCAGTTAATTTAGTATTGATATACTGTCATTCCTAGTACTCCTGAAGTCGTAAGGGACTGGTCATAATTATTTATTAAGGGGGAAGGGGGGGAGGGTTGTACGAAATGCAAAATTTCTCTGCAGCCCACTGGTAAGACATTTTATTTGCTAGATAACTACTCCTGTTATGTCAGATGCCATTAAAAAATGTACTTCCAATGTCATTACATGATTGTATGAATTTAATTACATCTTCAGTGTTATTAAAAGATTGTGAAATTTGAACTGCCATCTATCTTGTGCATTTCACCAGACATAAATTACCAACACTCCCCCAACATATATTTTTTTTGACCCACCTCCATTCTTTTAAAAAATTATACCTGCCCCACGCCCCCACCCCCTTGGATTTCTCCCTCCCACCCCCTATATAAATTATGACCGGTCACTAACTTCTTCATATTATAACAACACAGTACAACACAGTATGCGGTGGTCGATCTAAGCCTGCAACCAATATTTTTTATTACAAAAAACTTCTACATAATAACAAATTTCTTCACCCAGCCCACTCTCTGAATAATCCTGAATTTGATAATAAAAAAAAATTAAAGAAAAACTAAGGTATAAACACAAGGTGAGAACCTGATAACACGATAATCCAAGTGAAATCACTTCATCCTTATATACACAGATCCTAGGAGGAGGGGGGAGGGGGTGAATAGGGGTCTCCGAATCCACWGATCCGCTCATTTTTTTTCTAAAATCCACCGATCCATGCAAAGTTTTGCTTTAATCCGAATCCCAAATCATGATAGCAATCTATAATAAGAAAATCATAAATTCTTGCTAATTTGAGACCCGCTGATGCCATATTTGCCATAATAAGCTCAGAGAAGACATTTCCACACAGCGCAGAGTCTTGTTTCGCCCATTTATAAGGCCTTCTTAGCAATTTCTTATGTTATTTTTTTGTAGTAAACAATCGGCAAAATTCGCAGTCACGATTATTGACATTATAGAATCCGAAATCCGACGTTGAATTTTCAATAAATCCGTGATGCTGTACGTTTTAAAAATCCGGCAATCTGCTCTATTTTTTCTTAAAATCCGTAATGCTCGTGTCATTTTAGGCCCAGATCCGCCGATCCGAAAACCTATTCACCCCCCACCTCCTATTTAATACATACTGTAATGTGCACAATAGTGACAAGACCTTACGCCGCTAAGGAAATTATATCTCTCTCACTATCCACTCACTATGCACATCTGTTACAAGAGAAATACATATCCTTTTATAAGATCTATTTATATTCTGATTTTAGTTTGTGATTCTTCGTTAGATATCCTGAAACCAAAYAGAAAGTACAATTTGCCATTTGGCCGCCTGGATAAAGATGTGGTTGAAGGAAGGCGTAGTTTGCTACAGTACTATCTTGTGGTGAGTCCCTTTCARATGTTCAGTCAGAGGCTTTATAGCATACTGAATGAATTCTTTGAAACTCCGGCTTCTCAAACCATTGATAGGCCTGGGGCATTACAATGCAAAGCATAAAAGTGTGGACACCGAATATATGGTATATCTTGACATATTTCTGGCTTACCATCTATCGAATATAGTCTCCTTCACAGTTCCTGGCGCCATCTTGGAATGTAGCCGTGCCTTTGCATTGAAGCGAGACGATCGTTGAGCGTGCAATGATAGAAACCTTCTTGCACACCTACAGACAACCTTTCACAGTGGTATCTACATGACTGTATCATTGCACGCTCCAAGGTTATCTTGCTTCGATGCAAAGGCATAGCTCCTTTTTGAAGATTGCGCAGGTAACCGTGAAGGAGACTATTAGCATCTTGATCCCAGACAARTTAATACAATCCCCTATTAGTGGTKGGTTAATGAGCAAAGACAAAAGTAAGTCAAACACATTTATCAGTACAACCGAACAACAAATCATCATTTCATGGGTTTGTATAAATAAGTTATTTCCTCTAATTAGAGCATCTTCAATTTTCTTACTTATTTACTTTATTTGCAGAGCTTGGTATCCAAACCAGAGCTTCGTGATAGCCATGAATTACAGCAGTTCTTAGGAGTGATTGGTGGAGGTTCATTCATTAAACCAAGTGTAGCACAAATYATGAGTCAGTCTGTACATGTACCAAGAGTCGATAAGGTATTTATTAATATATAAATCTTTTTTGCCCAAATTACAATATGCTGCCAAATAGTATCCTTCATAGTTCTGCGTCATCTTAAAAGGTAGACAAGCCCTTGCACTGAAGCAAGAAACTTTGAAGCTTGCAATGATAGATACCTGTGAGTAATTGTTTGTAGGTGTGAAAGACTGTATCTATCATTGCATGTTCAATTATAGTGCAAGGCAAGTGCAAAGCATGGCTAACTTTCAACAAGGAGACTATCAAGCACTTTTGTGATTTCAATCACATTCTATAGATGACTGATAGAAAACCATTTGAAAATACAAGCGGTATAATGAAGAAAGTATGGCCTATTTCCTAGGTCAATGTCATGGTTGTGTTTATTAGTAAGGTGCTCAGCCATTAAAAATATTTATAGTCTATTTTAAATATTGTTATATTAAAATTAAATACTGTCTGATGAGTGCGTAGCACGAAACTCGGAGTTAAAGCAAAATCTTGCCTCTTTGATATCATATATATATAACTAGCTCTACACTTTATGTGTATTGAGCACTCTTTAATGGGATCAGCCACTTCCTAATACAATTAGTCTATTTTCAAAACAGCTAATACAATAAAGCACTCTTAGAGTGATAGAATACTAATAATATTTAATTATGATGATGATGATCATTACAATGATGCTAATGACATTTATACCAACAGATGCTGAGCCGACAAATGACAAAAGTGATTGACAGCATCAAAACAGCATTTGATTCAGGTAATAATAAGTTAAGGAAAGCCAGGATCACAGGTGAAACTGCACTTAGTTAACAGAAAAGAGATCAATTCTTGTTGTTTCCTTCAATGATGTTTTGTGCATTTTCCACAAAGAACACTCAGGATTGGGTTCACCCCACAAAAATCATTATGAAAACCATGAAGATAAGTAAAGAATTGGAATAGAATAAGAATAAGGAAAGAATTCAGCAGAGTCCCATTACACATCTCTGTATTCAGCTCACTTTTTTTGTTCAAACTCCAGATAATATTATAGCAACAAATGATATGCTTTACAAGTGTGAAAAAACATATCTCATAATGATTTTTGCATTTATTTAATGATCTAACATTCATAGATGAACAAGAGGGATTGGACTCTGGAAAAGTATCTCCAGTGTTAGATATTGGTTGTCCATGGTCAGTGGAATGTCACGGCGATGGTGGCGAATCAGATACAGTATGTACTCACACTAGTAAATACAGGATTATCACTCTCTCATCTATCTATCTATTTATTCCTTTCAATTCATCCATTAAATGTTTGTTCATCTATATCCATCCATCCATACAATTTATTTACTTATCCATCCATTTATTTACTCAGACATTTATTCATTTATCTATTGTTGCACCCATTCATCTATGTTTTCATCTATCCATTTATCTGCCCATTTTTTCAGTCATTTACAGTCATTCCATCTGCCCATCCATCAATTTTTTTCCATTCATTCTTGTGCCAATTCACCACTTCTCATTCATTCTTGTGCCAATTAATCACTCCTCTATGTACATCCAACTAATTCCATCCGTCCATCCGTCCATCCATCAATATTTTTCCATTCATTCTTGTTCCAATTCATCCATTGATTCAGTTCATCATTAGTCCATCCATTGGTGCATTAATATTTATTTATCATTTCTTGTACCCGTCCATTAAATCGTTGTCATTCATTCTTTTGTTCATCCATTTTTTTATCTTTAAACTCTGCTCTATTTGTATCTATAGCTTGATGAAAATCAAGTTTACCATGGGGACTACTTTTCTGCTTTCCTAGAAAACCTTGAGGTAATATTTTTTTTATACTTTCATTGGTAAAACATTCACTTTACTATAATATTTATTATCTTATTGTTTTCTTTAGCTTTCAAAGCCATCTTGTTACTATGACAACAGTGACACTGAAAGCAGCTTTAGCGACAGTAGTAGCGACAGTGATGCAATACCTCACATTATTGACCCAGCAATGGCCAATGACAGAACAGATATTCCTAACCAACCATCAACAATGTCTTCTTTCTCTGAAGATGACATGCTCAATGGTGTGCTAGGTTCCAAGCCACCAGGACTGTGCATCAATCCCTCGTACAGTTACAGTGCAACCAATGTCAGCTCAATCGATGGAGATGCAGTGGACTTTGGTAATCTCTTTACTAAAAAAGATACGAAGGCTTCATCGTCAACTGAYAGGTCACTTGGTTCTGATGAATCTGCTGAAAATATCCCAAAGTCATCTAGTCACAGGGGATTTTCCAAGAAACATGTTGAAAAGATYAAGACAGCAGCAAAGAAAGCAAAGGAGAAGAAGGCTGAATCACTAGATAGTCTTAATAATGCTAAAGAGAAGGTTAAGAAGAAGATACCAAGTGCAGAATCTTTAGAAAACCTCACCCATGCCAAGGAAAAGGTCAAGGCTTTTAAAAAGAACGTGGAATCAATGGAAAATTTGAATCARGCCAAAGAAAAAGTGAAGTCTTTTAAGAGGAAGATCCCAGATGTAGAATCAATGGAGAACTTGAGCCAAGCTAAGGARAAAGTAAAGGCATTCAARAGAAAAATTCCTGATGCAGAATCACTGGAAAATATAACACATGCAAAGGAAAAAGTTAAAGCTTTCAAGAAAAATGTTGGATCCATGGATAACTTAAGTCATGCCAAAGAAAAGGTAATAGCAGTGGCATAACACATTTATTAGCAGGCTACATTCTACTTATTTGATAGTTATTTGATAAAATGTTGAATGGCAACTGTAAAATGGAGATCACGTGGGTGATACAAGCCATGGGTTTTGTTAATTGAACTGGTTTGTACTGTAAGTCTGTGGTAAACATTGGATGCGTATTTTTAATTAGTTTCCATTTTTCACAAAGCAAGTGAAAGACTGTATTTTAAGTAGTGTAACCCTGGTCCCTCAGCCATGCATTCTCCCTTTGACAATCGCCAGTCTTCCCAGACAATGTCAGGTGCATAGCATACTTTATGCATACACATGTGCATACTAGTGGCAAGGAAATATTAAGAAATTTTCACAAAAATTACTGAAAACTTCACATAAATTTCATCCCTTTTATATGCTCTCGATGTTTCTCAAAACGCGCTGGAAATTACATTTTCAGTGTCAGAGTTATTATTTCAAAATTTTATGGGGGATGTCCAGACTCCCTTATTACTCCCTCCTTTGGCGGTCGTTAGACCCCCAGATCCAAAATTAATATGTGTCACAGTCTCTTACATGTGCGTACTAGCTAGCCAAAAAGTCCATGCTATGCGGCTTATGTATTTTATTTAATTATAATTGGAAATAAGTGAGATGTTCATTATCATGCTTGCTATGTCAAAGTACTTGAGTAAAATGCAGCATGTTATATTCAACAAGCCATGGCTTGCCATTTGTGTTCTTGTTTTCATGTTTTGTCCCTACTTCCACATTCGATATCTGTGCTATAAGTTATTTTATTGATTAATTAATCGTATGAGGAAGTGGCTGATCATTAAATACTGTCTGATGAGTGAGTAGCACGAAACTCGGAGCTACAGCAAAATCTTGCCTCTTTGATATCATATATATTATTGATTAATTATCAATTTATTCACATAATTTTTATTTATTCAAGGTAAAGGCGTTTAAGAAGAAAATCCCTGATGCAGAGTCAATGGAAAACCTCACWCATGCCAAAGAAAAAGTRAAAGCCTTCAAAAAGAARATYCCRCATCCAGATTCAAGYGAGAGCATCGCYCATGCTAAAGATAAAGTCAAAGAATTGAAGAAAAAAATCCCAAACCCTCAAAAGTTGATCAAAAAGGACCACGAAACTGTAGATTTGAGTCAGAATGAGACTAGCGATTCTTCTCATGCGCCTTCACAGATCAAGAACAAGCCAGAGAAACCTTCATTGTTGTCCATATGTGATGAGCCTAGTGAACCAGTTTGTGACGTAGCTGAGGATATTTTCCCTGACGACCCGCAATCTCCTCTTGCCCATGCCATCATGAATCTAACATGTGAGGTTCTTAAAGGACAAGATTCCTGGGCTGGATTGGACCGAGTGCAAGARGGCTTCAAGGGAACMTTTGGAGCTTTGTTTGAATGGTAAGTGCTTTGGYGTCTTTGGGGCTGCAATCCCCTCTAAAATGCACAATTCAAACATGAAACAAAAGTCTGATATCTTAATGGCTGTTGTACAACATCTGTGGMTGATCAGAATACAGAATAAACRATAAGCACTATCTGTATAAGGGGTGATCCATTAGATTTTTGAAGGGAGGGGGGAGGTGGAAGATTTTGTCTGTGCAAG